TTGTGTTGATTTGTGATGATGATGACGAGATTTTTTTAATAATTTTTTACAAATACTCAGTGAGAAATTTATCAGTCAATGTGTTTATCAGTAATAAATTTAACATTGAATATGTCTTTGAATCTTGTGTTGATTTGTGATAATGATGACGCTATTTTATTTTTATAATTTTTTAAAAAAAAGTCAATGATAAATTTATCACTGAATATGTCTTTAAATCTTGTGTTGATTTGTGACGATGATGATGAAATTTTGTAATTTTTAACAAGCAAACAGTGGTTAAATTTATCACTGAATGTGTCAATCATAAATTTTCGTACTAGATTCGTCTTTGATTCTTTGTGTTAATCTACGAATGTGAAGAATTATTTTTCGGTAAGGATTCCTTATCTCTTTCCTTCATTTTCTTCATCCTTATTCTTATCTTTTTCTTTTGTTTCCACCTTGTTTGAGGAGGTACTAGCGGTATTGACATGGTGATGGAAAACGACCACACAAAAAAATAAGGTAGTTGTTGGAGGTCAGTAATGGCTACCGGCAGTCAAAGATGAAGGCCAAATGAGTCATTGGAGGTCAATGATAGTTGCCGGTAGTCAGAAGTGGTCTTCGGTGGCCGATTAAGAGAGAGATTCGAACAACTGTGACAGAGAGAGAGAGAGAGAGAGAGAGAGAGAGAGAGAGAGTAGAATGGTTGAGTGATTTCTTTGTTTGGGCTAAATGTTAAGGGTAAAATGGAAATATGTGCTAAATCTTTTTGAGTCAAGACGTCATAGGAATTAAGTCAGGTCCAAAGGACCAGCTTGTAACTCCCCCTTTAAATTAAACCTGGGTAGTCAATCCACCCAAATTTTTTTAATATTTATTTTAGAGAAAATTACTTAATAGTGGAGCAGAAAAAATAAATTACAAACACATAAGGAGTGTAAGTGATTATGTAGTAGGGTGCAAGTGAAAAACTGTAAGGGGTGGAACTTGCACCCCTACATGTTTGTGTAATTTTTTTTTCCTATTACATTGTTAAATAATTCTCATTTATTTTATTATATAAGATAAAGGCTAGATTTGGTGTCATCAAGCCTTTACTTCTCTTTATTGAAAAATAAGATTCTTACCACTTGAGTAATGCACATATTGTGATTCATATTTTATTATTTATTTTTACTTATACTTATTTTAATTACATGTATCACATATACCAAACACCATATAAACATGATCTGCTGCCCACTCACATTCTCTTTATCAAAATTTACCTTTTCTCTTCATTGATTCATCTTTGTTTTAATCAAAAGATATATGAGTTATTTTGAAAAACATACTATGGTTGCATAAGAATTGGTTAGCATGAAATAAATTAGGTTAAATTATAACAGTAGTTCCTATATGAAAGGAAAATGTCTCGTATCTCAAATTTTGTGGCTCAAAATTGGCTCAAATGGCCAAAACGACGTCATTTTGGCCATTTTTTGTCACTTTTGAACCACAAAATTTGAGCTACGTAGCATTGTCACTATATGAAAAATGATTTAGAGCTCGAATATTTTGACTCGAAATGACTTGAAAGTTTGGACTCACGTGCCATTACTTCTCTATCTCTGTCTCTCTGACCCTACTTCTCTAAATCTTTACACCCAAAGTTTGAGCTCGTTCTCTCTCTTTTCCGTATAAAACCCTATCGGTCTCATCTCCTCTCTCCTCTCCACCTGAAACGCTATCGCTCTCATTCCTCCCTCATCCGACTATCTCTCCGATGCGGACATCTGACTCCACACTGAAAAGTTCTCATACTCTGCTCATTCACCTCTGACTTGGTGGTCAGCGGGATACTCCTCCCATGCTCCTCTCGTTCGACTACGCTCATCCGACTCCTCTCACTGTTGGAAACTTGTCATACACCGGATTATCGACCAATTGAAAACGAATCTCAGGTAAACCCAACATCGCAAAACTAGGGTTTGAAGATTTAAGAAATTGGGGTTTCGTGTTTTTCCCTTTTGCCTGACTCTTTGATGTATTGTATGTATATATGTTCAGCTGTTTGAATGAAGAATTTGATGGAGTTTAATTTATGTCAAAATGTGGTTTGCTTTTTGGTGTGTGAATTGTACAGTTAGTTCTTCTGGGGATGTTCAAATTAATTGTGGTGATGATCTTGTAGGGATGTTCATTGTCACAAATTTATTTTTTTTTGTTGCTGAATTTTTTCCAAATGATTTTTGCTGTTACATATTGGTTTGCTGCTGAATTTTTCCCCAAGAATGTTTGCTGCTAAAATCATGTTTTGCCACCGAATTTTTTGCCAATAATATCTTTCTGCTACATATTGGTTTGCTGGTGAGTTTTTGCTCAAGAATTTATGCTGTTAAATCTTGTTTTGCTGCTGAAATTTTCCATAACAATGTTTGCTGATAAATGTGGTATTGTTGCTGAATTTGTTTTTGGCTTTGGTTGTATACATTAAATTTACACACCCAAGTTCTGGGCAGTACTCTGACTATATGAAAAACCCTTGAGGAGCAACCTCACAGTAGCAGCTACCTTGTGATGAGCCAACCATTATGTTTACAAGGAGAAGTGCATGCAAACTAAACCAAGTTCAGTTAATTGGTATGTTCTATAACTTGATAAGGATTAAATTTGGTATATTGAATTTGGTATATATGTTCGGTATGTTTTGTAACCAGTCATTTTTAATGAGAGTGGGTTGAATGTAATGTTAGATTGAAAACAAATTAATGTAATATGTTTTGTAACTACATATTACATTCTCATTGTTTATGCATATTAAAATGGCTTCTTCTATGAACAACAACATTAGATTAAAACTAAGAATGTGTGACTATGGAAGAATAGCTATAATGTATATTGTACGAACTAATGAGAATGGAAATCAATGGCGTTTGTTTTTTGTTTTCCCATTAAAATATGTAAGTATGTGTTATGAATTAAACATTTTTGTATTTGGAAAATTATTTGCGTAATCTGACTAATTGATTGTCATGCTTTGTAGAGTAAAAAAGAACATTGCAATTACTTCAAGTTCGCAGACGATGATGCTGAGGACGTTACCTCCACAATCTGTTCCAATACTGGACTTCGTAAAGCTATAAGAACAGAGGAATTCAATGATGTAAGGACAAGGCTTTCAGAGATGGACAATGAAATTCATGACCATGGTAGAAGGCTTCAAATGATGGAAAAGAATTTCAAGGTGATGATTATGGATGTACTGGACATGATGGATTAAGTATATATGTTACCTCTGCAATGTTGTCATGAATTGAATGTTGTGTTCTCATGGATTGTGGATATATGTTGTCATTTTCAATTGTCACAGGTATATGTTGTCAGTGAAAATTCAATGTTTTTATGTTGCTGCTAGACTGATAGATAGTTATTGATCATAGAAAATGTTGTCATCGTTAGAAAACACAGGCAGTAGGTGTAATAGTGGACTTGTTTTGAATGGTGGACTATAAATTAGAAAGAAAAGTGATTGACTACTAGACTGTCTCTGTTCGGCCGAAAACCTGTCTGGCCGGTCAATATGTTTGTCGGCCAACCAAAATACTTGTACGGTTGGCCAAAAGACCTTGCTGTTCTGGAGTTATTTTAGTACAATTTTGGGCCTATTTTGGTCTTCCAATATATCTGTTCAACATCATTTGAGCCTCCAAAGAGACTATATCTATTCAAAATCATTTGAGCCTCCAAAGAGACTATATCTGTTCAATATTAATTTAATTTATCAAGAACAAAACAAATGCATCAGCAGCCATTGAGTGTACGAGGAACTATAACCAAAACATGCCCACCTAAATAATATGTATTACCATAACGAACAAATGCGCTAATAAAACTTAACAACCAACACAAACAAAATTCAATAACATTGAATTCAATTTAATTCAAACCAACATTTACAAACCATCCATTGTTTACAAACCAAAGTCATCAAAGTGGTACTACTAAACTTAAAAAAAAAGAAAGGCCATTTGGATCCGCATTTACATTCAAGTCAACAAATTTTGTCAAAGTGTGACTGCGTATGTTGTTCATCATTCCTGATTGAGTAAGAGATGTGCTTCAAATATTGTCCACCATTTGCATTAGGCTAACCTGTGCATATTCAATGTCAAAGTAAAATTTACAAATATTGTCCACAAACATATATATAAATTAAAACAATCAAAAATATTTCATATCATATATTGAACATATACTGGTACATACATACTCTGTTACGTGCCATCCGTGCAAGGAAAATAATAAGGTTCAGTTTGGGCCACCTTATGATCATAGTAACACAATTTCATTAATCATTTAAAAAATTAAAATAAAAACGTAGAACAAAATATGGAGTCCTTTCTCGAACACATACCGGGTCATACATACTGTATTGCATGGCATTTGTAGATGGAAAATGTAACTTGTGAGGCTGACCTTGAGGCACCTTATGGCCTTATAGTAAGACACATTGGTCAATAATTTAACTTAAAAAAAATTTTCAACAATTCGCATACAGAAAAATGTAACTTATAAAAATGTACTTGTACTTTTGTAGGCTTTTTATTATTTTCCTTCAACCGATTGACTATTTCATCCACGTTGCTAACCTTCCACTTGGTACATGGGCGACCTCTTCGTCGAGCAACTAGAGGACTAAGCACCTTGCGAGCTATGATTGCTTTTGTTGTACTACGACCAGATGGACTTTTGAGGGAAGTATTAGAAGGTCGTCAATGACTAGTAGAAGGTGGTGCATTACTACTTGAAAGTGACACGTTACTCACACAACCCGATTGATTTTTTTTCATTCTCTCATTGATTTCTGTCAACCCAAGATCATTCACTGTGTGTTTACCATCATCGTTGGAAGCAATTTCTAGTATTTTATCCAACATCTTGTGGTATTTATCATGCACCTTTGTATTGAGAATATCCCCAGTTTTAGTGTAAATGGTTAGAATGCATGTATACCCTCTTTCCAAATCTTTTCTCTATCTCGGCACAATGTAAGTATCTAGAATCTTATATATGCACCTCTCAATAAGCACATTAAATGAATGGGCACACATAATGCCCTTAAACTCAAACCACTGACACATACATTGGATTTGACTTTCGGTTGAATTAAAGTAGACAACAAATTCCACTTTCTTCATTTTATCATTGACGATAACAGTCTCCTTGACATGATAAGTACAAATTGATCCCTCATTTTTCACAAGATTCGCATGACAGTACAATAGTCGCTTCAATTCTACTTGAACGTCTTTAAATTTTGCATTAGTGTAGGCTGCACGAAATTGCTTCTCAAACTCATATACTGTTAAGCAATCATACAATTTGTTCCGAGAATTGAAGTCTACTTTGGTCTCCTTCTCCACCTTACTTCTCAAGGCATTGTTATACTGTTCAACAAATTGCTTTAAAGTTGTCTTTGAGTTTACATATCCATCAAAAAATGCATTCATACTCTCACTTCGTTGTGTAGTTGACATGTCAGCCCAAAAAATGTCTTTCACATAGGTAGGAATCCACCTATGTCGCTCACCGTATAATACTCCCAACCACTCGTTATCATGAAGATTGAACTTTGCAATCATCGCTTGCCATTCTTCATCAAATTCATCTTTTGTGAAAGAATCATAAACCACATTTTGCAAAGCAACCTTTATGGCTTCATATTGGGAATATCCTCTCAATTTCTTCAGAATTTTCTTGATTATATGCCATAAGCATCAACAATGTTGAGCTTGTGGGAAGACAAGTTTTATGGCATTTTGCATAGCTCTGCACTGGTCAGTTATTATAGCTATTGGGGGAGCATTTGATATGCAACTTAACCATCATTTGAATAGCCACACAAATGTCTCAGTGTTCTCACTACATAACAGCCCACAACCAAACAAAATTGATTGGCCATGGTGATTAACTCCTACAAACGGAGCAAGCGACATATCATATTTGTTTGTGAGATAGGTTGTGTCAAATGAAACAACATCCGCAAATGCTTTATAAGTTGCCCTACTCCTTGCATCCGTCCAAAACAAGTTTCGCATGCGACCATCTTCATCGAAGTCAATTGCAGCATAGAAGTTGGAATTTTGTTGTTGTATGCTATAAAAATAAAGTCTAACTGATTCGACATCTCCTATCCCAAGCCTCAATCTTCTAGTGTTCTCAATGTCATTCCTTGCATCTTGTTCATCAAATGTTAATGTCTCGTATCCCCCTGCTTCAACAACTATAGAATGAAAATTCCTAGCCACCCCTATCCCCGCTTCATCGTTTATTTCTAGTCTTCTCTTCATAGGAGTAAGAATCCTCTTATTCATTGCAAAATGCCGCGAGTCACTAGGAATCAAGTCATGTGTATGTTCACGACCAACTGTGGTTAACTTAAATCTTCCATCCATTTGTAGAGTCGCTCTCACCTTTGCTTTACATTCAATTTTTGATGACAAAGATGGTTGCAGAGGGTGTACTTTTGATCTTTTTGTTCTCTTCCGTGCCCGAGTACATTCAATTCCTAAGTATTTATCTACCCCATCTTGTCCAATATTTTGTGTTCTATAAGCTATAGCAAACCCAAGGTGTTTCACATATTATGCATAAAACGCGTATAATTCTTGCTTTGAGCTAAAACGCATCCCCTTCTTTGGTTCTTCAACTTCACCACTCTCATTAAATGAAGGATTCTTTTATGGTTCTTCAACTTCATCACTCCCATTCAATGAAGGATTGTTTGAATCAATGTCCATTGAAGCATATAACTTGAAACAGAAATTCAGTCTACATAACTAGTAAACAGACAGAAAAAAAAGTGTAAGCAAACGTAGATAGTTAAAAGGTAGAGTGTATTAACTATCATCCATGTTTTCTTTCACTTCCCAAACCAGACTGCATGATGATCTAAAGCAAATCCTAACCCTGTATGACAAGTACGTCCAAAACCACTTACATTTTGTAGACCAAAAAGCCTCAATAATTGAAAAAGAGAGAGCATATTTTAACAAATTTAATCTAATTCCCATCACATTCAACCAATAAGCATAATTCTGACTTCATACATGACACTTATAGATAGTTATTGAAACCAGGGCACCATATATTCACTACAACACATAATTCAGATCATAAACCATCAACTGTCCACAACATGAATTCCCACAATTGAAATAAAAAATCTAAACAATTTTTCACATGAAAAAACATAGTCATTGGTATTTAACATCTCCAGTTCTAGAACCATCTGTATAAGAACCATCTCTTAAGAACTGGAACCATCTCTATAACAACCATCTCTAGTTTTGAAGAGAATCAGAATTAATTTACTATTTTCATGAACAAAATTACAATTTTTCTATGTGGACTTTTATCAAACACGTGGAATGCATCACTACAAAAACATTGGCCACACAACCAACGAAAAAAAAAAAAAAAAAACCAACCTTGAACCATTGTAGACATCTCAAATGCATCACAAAAATCAATAGATTTGCACCTATAACAAATGCAAAAAAAAAATCAGAAGAGGAACTTACCTAATCTCCTATGCACGGTGGTAGGGATTTCGAACAGAGGTGGTCGTTGTCGGGGAAGATGTTTAACTGTGGCAGCTTACCTAAGTCGGTCGTTGGTGAACACCCAAGTCGATCGTGGTCGTGGTCGTGGTCATCGGAGAAGATGTTTAACTGTGGCAACTCTGATCTGCTCCCGTTTCCCTCGCTTTCTCTGTCCTCTCATCTCTCTTGTGTTTTGTTTTTGAATTGTGTGTGTTTGGTAACATTTACGTTTTCAGTTTATATTTACAAAAATTTTATAAACTGATTTTTGTTTATTTTTTGTTTATTTAAAAAAAAACATAAACTGCAAATGCGTTTGGTAATTAACAAAATGTTTAAAAAAATTTAAAAATATAAAAAAGAGTGAGAAATGACAAGTGGTGGCAAGTGGCGGCGGAAGACGGTGGTGGAAAGTAGTGAAGGTGGGTGGTGGGTGGTAGCGAGTGGGTGGTGGCGGGTGGCAGTGGCAGGTGGGTGGCGGATGGCGGGTGAGTGGGTGACGGTGGCGGGTGGTAGCAAGTGGGCGGTGGTGGCGGGTGGTGGGTGGTGGTGGCAGGTGGGT